AAATCTTGTAATAAAGATTCCAGTGTAATATTGGTTGGTCCAGAATCACTAGAGCTATAAGAAGAGCAGGATGTTACCTCAACATCATTGTAGTGGTCTTTGGCCATTAGGCATTTAGGGGACCTGTATTCATCATCTTCACTGAGCCATCTGCTGCTTTCTCCAGTGAGCCAGCTGCCGCCTTTTTCAGCCACCTGCCAGGATCCCAGGCATAGAAGTGCTTCCTCTGAGCTTTCAGATGAAGAGCTTTCATTGCTTGAGCTGCTTTCATCTTCAGATTGGGGTTCCTCCTTTTTCTTTTCACTTACAAAAGCTTGTCTTTTGCTTTTGAAGTCCCTCTTGTAACTAGCTTTGAGACCAGTCGCCTGCTGCCCTTGATACTTCTGGGCTAAGGGCAGAGGGCATTCATTTTTGTAATGTCCTGGCTGTCTACAGTTGTAGCATAGAACAGTTTCCTCACTGGATTGAGGTCTCCCTTGTCTTCTAGGTGGCAGGTTGTATGCTTTCTTTGGAGCAGTTCCCTCCTTCTTCATGAATCTTTTAAATTTCCTCACAAACATAGCAAACTGCTCGTCAGTGAGGAGATTATTGAGGGATTTTTCAGCAGATTTTGAAGTGCTTGGCTCAGATACTAGAGCTAGTGTCTTGTATTCATCTTCCTTCTCTTCTTTGATCTCCTTCATTTCAAATTCATAGGCCTTGAGATCACTAAAGAGTTTGTCGGTTGACAGAGTTCTGAGATCTCTGCTATCTCTCATAGCAGTTACCTTCATGTCCCATTTTGATGGCAGGCCTCTCAAGACTTTGAGGGAAATCTCCTTTTGAGATAGTTCTTTCCCAAGGTCAGAGACCTCTGCCACAATCTTCAGGAATCTGGATTCCATCTCATGGATAGATTCAGTTGACAGCATTTTGAAATCCTCAAATTTCTTGAGGGCTATGGTTAGTTTATTGTCCTTCTCCTGTTCATCTCCTGCTCCAATCTTTGTGAGCTCATCCCAGACATCTTTGGCAGTTTCGCATTTCCTGATTCTGGGAAATATAGATTCATCAACAGATTTGAAGAGAATGTCCTTGGCAATGTTGTCAAGATTGTTTCTCTTCCTGTCCTCAGTTGTCCATTCCATTTTGGGTTTTGGAATGTACACATCATCTGTTCCTTCTGTGGTTCTGGATGTGATGACCTTCATTATTTTGATAGGTCCATCAGTAATTACTTCAAGCATCTCATCATGTAAAGCACTGAGATGTGCTTTCATCCTTATTTTCCAGTCATCAAATTTGTTCAAGTTGAACAGAAGGTTCTTTGCTAACTGACTGTCCATTTCAGAAGGTGTTTGGGAAGTAGAGTGGCTTGGATCTTTAGTTCAAATTAGTCAGAAACTGACTCTAGGAACACTCTGCTCTGATACCACTTGATGGTCCTGGATAGGGTAAAAGTCTAGAGGGGGGGTGAATAGACTTTTAAATCTTTTTCAACTTTTTCAAGTTTTTGCCTCTAGATTAATTGATCTATAATCTTTTGAGAGATTAATAGATGCACAGCGGAAGTCTTTACCCTTTTTTTTCTAATGAGTGTGTGACAACTTTCTACCTTGAATGATGTTTGGACTTTAAACTGTGAGCAGTTGGCTTGGCAGTTGGCTAGATGGCAGGGAACTGCTGAGTCAACTGCCAGTTGAAAATAGGAGTTCGAGAAAGATGATAATATGGCCTTGCAGAGAATGATGAGGGCTTTCTGAATATATGTTAAGCTGAAGATAGTAAAGAGTTTTGCCTGAGCAGTGGTCTGAGCAGTTGGGTAATCCCAGGAAACTGCTAAGCCGTCTGCTGCTTATAAAAAGGTATCTTTGAGGACTGACCAACTACACCTTTTAGTAGTGATATTTAAAGCTTGTGGGAAACAGAAGTCTCAAGGAAAAGTGAGTTATTAAGCAGTAGGATAAGCAGTAGAGTCAATTAAGACGACTGCTTAGGATGCTGCTGGCAAACTACGATCCCTTTAGTGAGAAGTGTTGAGTGTGTGTTTTAGTGAGTAAAGGAGAATCAACACACGATGTATCCTGGTTCAGAGGTGGTGTAATCCTCCTACATCCAGTCCCACCCTATTTCAGATGGATTTCCACTAAAGTATTAAGCCCAATACACTTAGTGCCAATCTAGCCTTTACAACACTTAGGCCTAGATTGAAGGTTTTTCACAATGAGTATAACACCACTCAAAGTTACTCAGTCCTTAGAATTTTCTCAATTGATCCAGTGGGGATCAAAAGGTATTCTATCTCTCTAACTACACTTTAGGATCCGAACAACTGTTCTCCTAAGTGTTTACAACCACTTGTGAAATGTTACAAGAAAGTTCTAACCTCCAACTATGAACTAAGCTCTAAAAATGTGAAAGTGTTGATCTAATCTAAGAGCTTAGTGAAGCATGAGGCTAAGCAGAGAGTAAAGTTGAGTTTGCACTTTCTCTTTTTGCTAGATAGCTTCGTATATGCTTTGATGGAAGTATTTCTCTGCTTAGGATGCTCAAGCTTATTTTGAACTCATGCTTCTACCTATATTTATAGGCCTTCATGGTTGATCAATCTCATCCGTTGGTTGAGATGGATTAATCTTGTGCGTTGAGGGTCTGGCAAGGACGAATTGTACATTTGTCTTCTTGTGCAGGAGCTTTTAATCCTTTTGTTTTCTGTCTTGAATAATTGGGCCACGGCATGGGTTTGTCTTCAGCCGCTGCAGCTTCACTCCAAAAGGACGTCCCATGCTGTAGGACCATGTACCTGTTTAAGCTTTTAATGCTGGTCAAGTTTTGTCTTCCAATCATACAACTTTGATGTATATGACTTTTCGAGCATCTTTAAAATGTGACATTTATTTAATCTTTGAGTCAAATGATATGTGCCGGTTGGATCTAAATATCCGTTTAAGGAAAAAAAATACCTTATTGCATTTTTACTTTTTCCGGTACTATTTCATTGGTCTCAAAAATTGTACATTTATTTTGTCACATTTGAAAAATTTGAGTGCTAATACCTGAATTTAATTTGGACACAATGTACGGGTGCAAAGTATAGTGGCATCATCAAAATCTATCAAAATTGGGTACTAACAATTATATTCTTTTGAGTCAAGGTAATATGTGAATGATGGTGGATATCCTTGTTGGGCTATAGAAATTATGTGAGTAGCCAATTGAGCATATAAGGCCCATTTATCGGTACCGGCATACTGACAGATAACAGTCATAATAAATTGTGGAGACCACCAAATTAAAGGTTGGGGAATTCACATTCATCCTTATAGCCAATAATAATTGGAAGAATGATATATATTTCATTTTACCCGATAAAATGAAATACAATTAAAACAGTCCGGAAAATACAACTTTCGGGACCGAGTGTACACTCGGGGACACAAAGGGATGACTTCCCACAAATGTGGGGGCCATCCCACGTTCTGATCTTGAAAATAATATGGAAAGCACCATTTGAGCCAAGGAAACAATGAGGAGGGGCTGGGGAGACAAAGTGAGAAGAGAAAGGGGGACCCTCTCTCATATAATTGGGAATAAGCCAAAATGCCATTCCCATCACCCCTAACCACCATCCACTCATACCATTCATCTTTCAGGGAGGTGAGGAGCTCTAAAACTACTCCATCTCTTTATCTGATTTTCGCACAACAAAAAGAGAAGAAGAAGAAAGCAAAGTGGAAGAAAAGAGAAGGGAAAAGAGGAGAAGAACTTGAGGGTTTACAAGGTAATGACTTATCAATCCCATTCCTTTCCTTAATCTTTCCATATGATTATATAATCATATTTCATACCCCTAGGATCATTCTACATGTTATATGTGAAGAATGAGGGGTTGGAAGGTTGGTTCATATCCAAAACGGATTTAGAGAACAAAGTTGACCGGTTTGTCGGAAAATAACCTTTTAGAGGTTATTTGTATTGGTATGGGTTTTATGATGATAAAACCTTGTTATTAACTTGTATAAGGTATTTCAAGAACTTTCACGGAGTTGAAAAGGTCGCCGGAGTTGTCACCGGAGTTCGTTGAAGTTCACCGGAGTTTCACCGGAGAGTAATAAGAAAGGCTAGAACTTCATAAGCTTCTTTTAAGGTGAGAAGACGGCTATATGCTTTATAACTTTTGCGTGAGGCATGAGATTACCTAAATTAATCAGGAACATGTTTTATGAATTGATTATGATAGCAAAGTATGTGATCACCCAGTTAGCATGTTTTCTTTTGAACTGTTTTTGAGTTCCAGAACAGACTTAAATTGACCAGACTAGACCAGACCAGAATTTCTTAGTTATAAAATACACAGAGACTAGACGTTTACCAGACCAGACCAGACCAGTTCAGACCAGACTTAAACGGACCAGACCAGACCAGCAAATTTTAGTCCAAAAGAAATAATAAAAGCAAATCCAAATATGATAACGTTGTCTTCCCAATTGAAAGAAACTCTTAGCCCTAATTTTTCTCTCAACGGAAAACTTTCTTCGCACAGTTACTCTGCCACGCACTTTCGCACACTTCAATCGACACCGGCCATGTATGTACGGTACTGAAGGACTGCACTCAATAGGAGTACGTGTATAACAAGGTAATCACTTTGCTATGAGAATGTTTAGTAGTATTTGCTGTGTATACACTGCAGTGCAATCGCTCAGCCCGGTTGGAAAGCCCCCTGGAATATTTGTGTATTAATATATTTGATTATATATACAGGATACATTTTACTCCGTAAGTCGGTTTTCTTCTATTCTATTCTGTAAAGAAAAAGAAAGCATAAACTATCTCACAGCCGTTTTGCAGGCTTTCTTTAGACTTTTATGTATGTTAGGTTGAGTTACTAGTCTAGTGAGTAGTCTTTAATCCAATATGTCTCAAGAAATTTAGAGAGGCATTTTCTTCTATTCTATTCTATTCTATAAAGAAAAAGAAAGCATTAGCTATCTCTCAGCCGTTTGCACGCTTTCTTTAGACTTTTATCTTTGTGATGGCTCCAGCTATATAAAAACTTAAAACAAACGCATAAAGAGATTTATAAAGGAGAGGGGAGAGTACAAAGAATCAAAATGAACTATTTGCTCTTTGCTATTTTACTAGTGTTTCACTTTAATATGAGTAGCTCAATTCTCAAAAAAAAAAGTGTAGTCTGGGGGTTTTACATCTGGTAATCCTTTTGTATTTTCTCAATTCTCAAAATGAACTATTTGCTCCTTTCTATTTAATGTGTTTGTATTGTTTGTGTTGACATGTTCAGAGATGGAATTCAATGGTTCATGATGGACTTATGTGTGTTTGTACAGCATGTTAGATCGAGTTGAACTCGTTATTTACCATGGTGGAACTTTCATCAGCGTTCCTGAGTGCATTTACAGAGGTGGTGCAGTAAACTCTATCACTATAGACCCGGATTTGATTTCATACACCCATCTTCTCATGTTTCTAAAAGAGGGATCGTATGGCAACATTGAAGCTTTGTACTTCAAAAAGGCCACAGGACCCCCAAGGCAGACAGAAATGACCGAAGATGTAGAGGGAAGTCTAGCCGTAGTGGTGCAAGTTCAACCCGGGGGCAGCCTACTGCTTCGCACCCGAAGATGCACATACAGAGGGCGGGATGAGGGGTGGTACACCTAGAGGGCGTGGGGGGCGTAGAGGACGAGGGACAAGTCGGAGGGGGCATGTGAAAGAGGATTTGATATATATACCAATCCTGAGTCAGGACAAACAACATTAAATGTAAGATTTTTTTTTTTAAATATGATGTATATTTTTGAAGTACTAATAGTTATGATATTTACTAATTTTAGTTTCATAAACTTTCAGCCAGGGGAAACAAGTGAGAGGGTGAACTTTCAGCCAAGGATGAGAAGCTCATTGTGAGATGTATGGTGAACAAGAAATTATTGATTGCTGGTGGTGGGGGCTTTGGTGACATTTTGACTTGGGGTGTAGACAAGGCATTGGGGTGTTTGCTGGCAGATTTTTTTTTAAAATAAAAACACAATCCTTAACAATTATATTAACTAATCACTCATACATAGGAAGTCATTGATCCAACCGTTTATAGCAGATTTGGGGCCTCTTACTTTCACCAGGTTCCACACAATAATCCTCTCCATTGGCCTTTAAGGTCAAGATAAGTCTAGTGCAGTAGGCTGCTGCACTGCACTGGTTTATCAACGGACCCACTAGAACATACAAAGAGAAGTTCCTTGATTTGGAAGCCTTCAATAATCAATACTATGACTCCTTCCTTAGAGAGAGAGTGTGATAGTTCATTGCTCCTGGGAAACTGATCGGGTTCAGTGGGCTTCTTCCAACTCTCAGTTAACCCATTTCTACTAAACAATTTTTTTGAGTTGTACTCCTATACATATTAAATGAGTTAATAAGGTCACTTTCACTATTTGGTAATTGAGACGCATTGGGATTTGAGCAATAAGCTGCTCATTAGTGTGCCAATATTTCCTTGCTCATCTAAAATCCGTTCATCCAGATGCATAGAGCTATCTGGAAGTTGATTATTAATGGGGATAGAACCAAAAGAACCCACATTGAGAGACCCACTAGCTGCCAGAGAGTTCGAGGTTGCAATTTTAGCATGTGCAGTCCTTATATTCATCTCCCTTAAAAAAAACGACCTCAGAAACCTATCTACAAACACCAAAGAGTGAAACAAAACACTGCTACACACACCAAGCTGATCCTTTCATACACAGAGCACTTCCTTGCATTCAAATACACCAAACCAAGCAACACCAACATTACCACTTCATTTAAGCTAAACCTTGTTCTTACACAAATAGACCGAAACGATGTTACGCATCTAAAATACAAGATCAAGTGTGCATTTCACAAACAAACACCACACTTCGTTCACACTACAGACAATGTTACACGAATTTTCTCAAATTAACCTGGAATATGTTCTGACATACTAACTACCAGGGACGGAGCCAACAAGGGAGGTGTGGTGTCAATTGACACCACTGAAATTTTTTCCCCCATAAGTAGGTATATAAATTTTTTCAAAATTCTAAAATTGAGACCACTGAAAAATAAAAATTCTTTGTATAGGTATATGTAATGTTTCATAAATTATAAATTGACACCACTCCACTAATTAAAGAAATGGGGGTCAATGTAAATTTTTTAAGTCTTGTCTGGTTTGGTCTGGTCTGAACTAATCTGGTCTGGTCTGGTCTGGTAAATGTCTGGTCTCTGTGTATTTTATAACTAAGAAATTATGGTCTGGTCTGGTCTGTTTAAGTCTGGTCTGGTCTGTTTAAGTTCGGTCTGGTCCGGTCTGTTTAAGTCTGATCTGGTCTGGTCTGGAACTGAAAACAGTCCAAAAGAAAACATCCTAACTGGGTGATCACCCGCAAAATTATAACATTGATTGTTTTTGTATACTATGAGGGTGTATTGGGTGTATTATAGGTTAGAGGGTCTAATTGACTTTTTGGATATAGTTCGAGAGTCTATTTGACAGTTTTCCCTATTTCGTATGACATTAATATTGAATATAAGGAAATAAAATAATAGTTTAACGCTTTAAAAAACATTTGTTTTCAAGATGTTATAACTTTTTTATTTGTACTCCGATTTTTACAAAATATATACTACGATATCACAAATCATAACTTTTTATTACCTTTCACATGACACCAACGCGTGCTTGCACACACACCTATATAGGGGAGGGTTCAAATACAAAGTAGTCTCCCATGCAAAGTGAGAATAAATCTTGTGCATTTATTGCCACATCTAATGGCTCAAAGTTACCCAAATATGCACTAAATTTGGTCAAAATCGTTGTGGCAATTTCGTAAATAAATTGAATTTTTTTGCCACCGCGAAAAAGTGAAACAGAAACATGCAATAGTGCAACGCAGTGAAGAAAAAGTGCAACCATTCGCACTTTGCATGGGAACACCTCTTTGGATTTGAACTCTCCCCTGTGTGTGTAAATTTTTATCAATTTGTGCAGTTCATGATTGTCTTTTATCGTGTACACTATTAATTAGGAGTGACAGCTTAGAATAAAGCTGCACAAATTCTACTTCAAAGAATAAAATAATAAATAAAAGTGATGGAGTTTGTGCAGTTTTATTCAAAGTTATCAAATTTTGAAGGGATGCCAGATAAATACTTCAAACTTGTATAGGCAATAATTGCAATATGTATAGCCCAAAGTCTATATAAAAATTTATTTTTTCACTTAGTGTTTTGATTGTATCTGGTTATCCTATATTGTGGGGTGTATTTTGATTTGGTTATAAGTAGAAGGTAGGGATGGCAACGGGGCAGATAGGGAACGATTTTACATACAACCGTACCCGCCCCATTTGGTAATTCCCCTGCCCCAAAACCGCTCCATTATGAGACATGGTGCCACTATTACCAATATTAGCAATGGGAAGTTTAATCAAATATCACCAATATTAGCAATGGGAAGTTTAATATCGTTTGCAACACTAACAAACATGGTGCCATAGTAAGGAGATTTATTTGACAAAATACCTTCAGACGATGTCATATGAGCAGAAGCTCTAGAGTCTGGATACCACAAAGCATCGTTAGATTCCCCACTGGGAGCAACCAGGACAGGTGCAGAAGATGAAGAAAAACGAGATGGACAGTGCAGAGAAACAAATTTGACATACAACTGGGGGAGGAACTGAACCAAGAATACCCTCAGTTGTGGGGAAACCTGCATAATGATAGTGAGTACCAGAAGTACATTTAGCATTAATATTTAAAATGGACACAACAGATTTACCAGATGGGACATTGTGAGATCTCGGATTAGGCACATCCCTGCGGCCAAGAACTGGGGCGCTGGCTGCTGACCGTGGTACTGGGGACCTTGCTGACTGAACCCCTGCGGCTGACTGTGATGTTGCCCGTACCCCTGGTGCGGTTGAAACCGGCCTCTTCCATGGCCCCCTCAGCCACGGCCGCCTCTGCCGCTGCCTCCTCTGCTGCCGTAAACGCCCTAACAGGCTGCTTTCCGGCCTGCACTTGTTGAGCAGCACCAACATGAGCTCCAAAGGCCGGCTGGAGCTGAGAAGAATCTTGCTGCCTCTGAAACATAATGCATTGCTCGGCCTCCATCAATCTAGGATGGAGAATATCTAGCGGGAAATTTTCAGGAAATAGAGAGATGGTTCGTGCAATGGACTCATACTCAGGCTCTAGTCCATACAAAGTGCATTGAAATAATTCTTTGTTACTCATAGGAGAATTAATTGTAGCTAAAGCATCAGCCAATTTCTTAATTCCAAGCAAGTAGTTTTCCATAGACTGATTTCTATCTTTTTAATCGCATTCAGGGTATGCTTAAGTTCCATGGCTCTAGGTAAACTAGTAGACATAAAACGTTTTTGCAAACGATCCCATATACCAGATGACTGTTTAATATCATGCACATCAGTTAATACATCACGAGAAAGAGTGGCAAACAACCAAAGAAGAATTGTTTAATCTACCCGAAGCCAATGATAATACTCTGTATCAATGATTTGCTGATAATTAAAATTTACTGTATACATGGGAGGTACCTGAATGGAGCCATCCATAACGCCAAATAGCCCTTGAGAGACGAGAAAAGATTCAAATTGTGTGCGCCATGTAAGGTAGTCTTCAACAGCCTTCAACTTGATTGTAACAATTTGACTCACATCAGCGATTCCGTGGGAGATGGATTGCGCCAAGGTTGCCATAGAGGTCCCAAACAAAGGATTATCTTGCACGGGTCAGGTGATACCCGGCGACCCAGCAAAATTCGGCCCAAAAAAAGAAGAACTCGGCACTACGCACGAACTGACCAGAGGGGGAAGTTGCGGCCATGGGAATTGCGGCGGGAGATTGCTGAAGAGACTATAGGGACTCGGTGGCGTCCAGAGAGAGGAAGAAAATTCTGGAATGGAAGGGAAGAGTTCCGGCTGCGGCATGGAGGAAAACACGGCGCCGGATGAATGCAAGGCGGCGAATGCATTGGTGGAAGCAGCGATGGAAGAAGCAGGTTCGAGGGAGGTTATCAGCATCATCATCACTGCTGTAGAGACAGATTCCATGGACGAGGAAACATCTGTGACAGGTATACTACCTGTGGTAGACTCTATGGACATGGCGGCGTCGATCGAGAAGAGAGAGATAGCCGGAAAAAGGCACCCCAATAGGAGCCCTGACAATGTGACATGTGTATTTATATTAAAAGAGTTTAATACTACCTCCGTCCCATTAAGATTGGGACAGAAGAAGGTGGCTGATAAGTCCGTATTTAGACACGCATTTGATGCGTGTTGGGATTGGATTTTGATGGTTTTCCTATCTTTAAGGTGTTACAAGTCTCAATTTTAGCTCAAGTTATGTTTACCGGGCGTTGGTTTGAGTTTTGTGTCATTTGGAGTCAAAATCAGGATTTTAGAGTTCACATCGGCACTTGAGGAGCAATCGGGATGATTCGAGATGCATTTGGGTGTTGATTTTAGAGCTATGGAGGTCACCGGTAGGTTTACGATGAAGATTTAATGACAAAAGAGCTCTCGGATTGGCTATGGGATCAAAAAGAAGATGAATGAAGCTTGAAAACGGCATGCAGGATGACCTTTGGTCAATCGTTCAAGCATATCTCTTTGTATAAGCATCCAAAGAACACGATTCAAAGTCCACATGAAATCCAACTTCAAGAGCTACAAATCATATGAAGACATCATTCCTAGAATCTGAGAGGAAGAAGATGAAAAAAGACGATGAAGTCAGATGATCTCTGCTGCGATTTCAGAATGACACCTTCCACCGTTTTGATCATATCTCTTGATCAATTTCATGTAATTAGGCCTGATCTGCCAGAAATCTGGTTACCCCGGAATCAATCCCTATTCCCTTCGTCATTAATTAATTAGAAACCACATTTATTTTTTATTCGCTCAACCGCATTAGTTTAATTTTCAAATCAACCAATCTCGCACGACGCATTTATTTTATTTATTTCATTTTTAATCACTGAATTTAGTTAATCTTTAATTCCCTTTTGTCCGTCCCTGTGGAGATGATACTCGTACTTACACCCCTATATTACAATTTTTTTAAGTGCGAGAAAACACACATCAGTTTTTGGCGCCGTTGCCGGGGACGGTGTCGGTTTTAAGGGTTAATTAATTTCAGCGAGATTTTTTTTAGTTTTTTTTTTAGTTCTTCGTAGGATTTTTTCTGTGCTAACCTTTCAGGTATTTTTCAAAGAGGCATGAGATGAACCCATTCAGCCAAATTCCTGGAGGAATTCCTTACCCTCAAACCTCCATGGAATATTCACCATATACGCCATACCCTCCTTACACTCCTCCTCAACTTTACACACCTCATCAAAATTACTCTCCTACACCACAAAATATTCAGCCT